GTATTGTTCTATACATGTAAATTAGATCTTCTGATTGGTGGTATTGAGTTCTTCTATATCCTTGTTGATTTTCTGTCTAGTTCTTCTATCACATGCCTGAAAACTGACTTTTATCCAAAATATACAAACTACTCCTAGATATTTACTCAGCTGATTTAAAAACTCATGTCCATACAATCATCTGCATGCAGATGTTTATAACAACTTTATTCATAATTGTCAAAAGCTGGAATCAACCAACATGTACTTTAGTAGGTAAATGGATAAGCAAACTACGGTATATCCATACAATGGAATATTATTGATTAATAAAAATAAGTGAGCTATCAAGCCATAAAAAAGATATGGAGAATCCTTAAATTCATATTACTAAGTGAAAGAAGCCAGTCTGAATGGGATACAAACTATATGATTCCAACTTTATGACATTCTGGAAAAAGTAAACTATAAAGACAGTAAAATGATCAGTAGTTGCCAGAGCTTTGGGGGAAGGGAGATATGAATGAAGCACAGAAGATTTTTATGGCAAAAACATTAACCTGTATAATACTATAGAGATGGGAACACAGAAACATGACATTATACATTTATAGAAACTCACAAAACTTTATATCACAAAAAATGCTTAATATATGCAAATTGCAGTTGGTGGATCCCATAAAGGAATGAGGACTCTGCCAAGGGAATTTAAATGTATTATAAAATAAACGAAACAACTCATGAAAAGGGTGGAGGGGAAAGGTACTGACCTAAGTAGCTTTGGATATATAAGTGGAGTTTTGTAAGATTGAAGGCAAAAGCAACTACACATAAGCACTTTACTATAGTTGAAAAAGTTGTATCCCATGGGGATACCAGTTAACAATTCTGATATTACTATATCTATAGATAGATAGATAAACTATTCAACAATTAAGTAAATGGATGGTAGGTGGTGGGAGACAGGTTTCTCACTGTTGGAGTGGGAAATTACATATCCACAAGCAAGGGGAAAAGGCTAGAATAATCCACGTGGTAATGGATTAGGGTTGGAGGCATCAGTACTAACTCATATCTAGCTGTAATACAGATACAAATGGTTACATATTAAATATTTATAGGTGTGTATATATATATACAAGTTGTTTTGCACATATAAATTCCTTTGCTCTGTCAACAGGGAGTGTCTGAAAGAAATGACATCCTACTATGAAATGACATACCTACTGTCCACATCTTGGTTTCTAATACCATTTGTTAATAAAAGGAACCTGAGCTCCTTGAAGAGATGGCAGCTTCTAGTACCAGGGGAGGAAATATACAAGATGAGCCTGGAATATAGTGCTTGAAAATAAGGAAGTGCTCAAGAAAATAACAAAAACACACGTTGGGCCAAGAGTGGTGGCTCACGCCTGTAATCCTAGCACTCTAGGAGACTGAGGCGGGTGGATTGCTCGAGGTCAGGAGTTCAAAACCAGCCTGAGCAAGAGCGAGGCCCCGTCTCTACTATAAATAGAAAGAAATTAATTGGCCGACTAATATATATAGAAAAAATTAGCCAGGTATGGTGGCGCATGTCTGTAGTCCCAGCTACTCAGGAAGCTGAGGCAGTAGGATTGCTTGAGCCCAGGAGTTTGAGGTTGCTGTGTGCTAGGGTGACACCACGGCACTCACGCTAGCCTGGGCAACAAAGCAAGACTCTGTCTCAAAAAAAAAAAAAAAATGCACGTTGGTGGATGTATATCAAAGAAGCATAGGAGTCAACTGACAGATCTCACAATGGCCAAAGATGAAAAAGTTCGAGCAATAAAAATAAAGCAGTATTTTATTGGAACCCAAAGTATAAAATAAATACTCATAAGTACATGCTAAACTGATAAACATATGTGAATACTTTTTATAGAAAGATAGGCCAAATATTTACTGTGACCTATTATGTACTAGGCACTGTACTATACATTATATTTCAATGATTATGTTAATCTTTTCTGCAATGAGGTTTTAAAAAGTAAGGATTAGAGAGGTTTAGTAATTAAGCCAGACTACACTGATAGTAAATAGTAGTACCAAAATTCAAGCACAGTCTGTCACAGCAGTTCTCAAACTATACAATGGATCAGAATCGTCAAGAGAGTTTGTTAAGATATAGATTATTGATCTCACCCTCATAGTTTCTTATATAGCAGCAGAGATGAGGGGGTAGGGACAGTGTGGGAGATTTTGCATTTCTAACAAGTTCCTAAATGATGTATATGTTGTTGGTTCAGACACCACACTTTGAAAACTACCAATCTATCAGATTATATTATAACATCTTCCCACTGGTACTTCTTATCTTACATTACTCCTCTATAAATATAGTATGCTCTCGCTAGGTGAAAAACAATATAGTCAAAATGCATTTGGTGCTTTTTTCTCTCTGTGCTTTTGCATTATTGTCCCCCTCCACCTAAACTGTCTTCTTTTTCTTGCCTTCCCCCTACTCTTTCCTGCTAAAATATTTTCCTTTATAAAGCCACTCAAATGCTACCTTTTCTATAAAGTCTTAACCTCATGCCCATGCCTAGAAATAGACTGCTTTTATTTTGAACAGATCTTACTTTATATAATAACAATGTGTATCATCAGTTACTGTCTTGTTATTGTAATTACTTGTTTCTAGGCATTAATGTATTATACTGCATTTGTAAATTCCTTAAGGATTTGGGTTGCATTTAGCCTATAATACTTAATACAGACCTTTAGTTGTTTAATATATATGCTAAGACTATGATACTTCTATTTTTTTAATTATTAAATGAGACAGTGTTTGTAAAAGTACTTTATTAACAATAAAGTGTTATATAGAGAGAAGTACTTTCTTCTTGCAATGACTCTGGACATTCTATAGATTAAAAAGTACATCTCAAAATTAATTTGTCAATGCTTCAAAGACATCAGGGAATTGGCAAAAAAATAAAACATCTCTAATCTAATTTTTAGCAAAATAAGAGGCCAAAGAAATTGAGGGGGAATAACAGATATACTCTCTCTGTTATATATAACAAAATCTTTTAATGATATCACATACACACACATAGATATATATACATACACACACACACAGAAATAGTGATCTCAATATTATAGCTATGAGTTTTATTAGCACTGCTGTTAGGGTATCAACCTAGAGCAGATCAACTATTATTAATACTAGACATATAGCAGGCTTGTGCTTGATGACCCAAAAATTGGAATAAAAAGAATTAACTAAGTTTTCATTTGCCACTAACCTTGTTTTGGAGGGAGTTACAATTTTCTTGGAAAACAGACTCCAACAAATTCCATAATACTTGATAACTTAAAAATATGTAGAGAAACAACATTATTGTCAATAAGGATAAATTCATGGATGTTATACTTAGAAAAGGAAACTACAGAAACACAAGATGGAATGAACTTACTGTGTAAAATTACAAAATCCCAGAGGAATGTATCAGTCAAATTCTTGGTACCTCAAATTGTTTTCCATATTTTGTAGATTAATGTAATTATCTCTCCTTCACAGAAATTATGGGAGGATAACATGCAAAAATTGTTATGAGACTATTTCTAATTTTTAGGAGGAAATGTGTAACAAACTTCCTGATATAGTTACTACTGTAGTCTGTGAAGGCAGTATTATACTCTTAGTTAAAATTCTAGATTTGTTCAACAAATTGGCAGATTTGTCACATGAAACTGTAGGACCTCAAAATTGATGACATTCTAATCATATTACTATTAATATTATAATCAATTAGCTGTCAAGTTGACAAAAATATACAATGTAGCATTTTAATTGAGAAAGACAAAATTCCTAAGTAAATAGGAGCATATTGGGAACTATATAATTATCCAGTGCTATTTTGGCACTAATTAGAATATTTTATCTAATTCTAACTGACAGAACTAAACCAGATTTTGAAGAAACATTATTAAGATTAAAAATTAGTAGCCTTAATTTTTTTAATGAAACCATAAATAGTTATTCCAATAAGAAGGCAGCCAATGGATAATTCAGTAATCATTTTCAGATATATAGATAGTTTTAAATAAATGGCTATCAGCTCTTCTCTTTCAGATTGTAAATACAAGAATAAAAAATAATTAAATACAAGACAGTTTTAGGTTATTTCAGAGAATGAGAGTGGTTAAAGAGTAAATTCAGTCATAAGTTTTTGAAAATATATTCTTACATGACTTTAAAAATCTTAGTTGTGAAATTTTAGAAATAGCATAAAATCTTTGTTTTCAAATGATGAAAATGAGGTAATGTTAGCTGATCAAAGTAACACAGCCAGTTAATGACAGAGCATGAGTCAAACTGTCATATGAACATTCAGGCCTTTGATTCTTGATTCTGTTCTTCCCTTGTTTCATGTTTCTTATCTAACCGGCTTAAATGTGGCCTGGAAATTGATAATTATCTCTGAAAGACCTTTCTACCTTGAAGTGTCTGTGATTGTCAATTGGTCTATTGTATAATAACTATTGATCTCTCCAACGTCTTCCCCACTGTTGTCCATTTCTGATAAACCTTGTTTTACCTTAAAACTGATAGACTTCCTGAGAAGCAAGAGCTCAAATCTAAGTCTTACTCAACTCTAGAGTGCTTTGTGTGTTAGACTTTTAAACATAAATATTACTATACTCAACTGTTTTTTATCTCATTGAAATCTTACAACTGTATAAAATACAAAGGAACTGAAGTTAGACAAAAGAAGTAATTTGGCCATGGTCATATTGCTTAAGAGTGGCTAATTTTTTCTGAGTCCACATTCGGTGCATTTTTCTAATCTACCACACTAACCGTTATTACAAAAACTTCCCTGCCAGAGTGCCTAATTTATATAGCAATTGATGAATCTCTTATGGTAACAATTTTATTCCTAAAATGGTTATTCATGTGTAAAGTAAAATGATTGATCTTTGTTGTTGAATGTATTTAGATCAAGCATTCATTGCAATTCAACATTCATCTACTTACTCTCTTCTTTCAGGCCTGTATGTGGAATCAGAGGGAAAACTCTCATAATTAACCTGCCAGGTAGCAAGAAAGGATCTCAGGTAAGCCATCTTGACATTTATATGGTATAGAGTAAGGACTTTTGGCCAACTGTGAGAGTTAGCCAACCAAAGAGTTGCAGTGCTTCACAAACTATTCTCACTTCTGACACCAACTGCAAGTTTACAGGATTCCCCAAATTACCCTCAGGTTCAGTAATTCACTAGAAAAACTCACAGAACTCACTGAACGCTGTTATACTCACTGTATGGTTTCTTACAGGGAAAGGATGCAGATTAAAATCACCTAAGGGAAGAAGTGCGTAAGACAAAGTTCAGGAGAAATATCAACCCCAGAGTTTCTGTTGTCTTCTCCCTATGGAGTCATGCATGCATTACTCTCCTGGCATTGATGTATGATAATACACTTGAAATATTGCCAATCAGAGAAGCCTGAGTTTTTGGTGTCCAGATCTATCATTATTTGAACCCTATGATATATTTGTACAGAATTATATACCATAGAAATTAATCCAGTTCTTCCTCAGACCAGTCCTTTTCTGTTGGTGTTACATCCTGAAGTGGCTTTAACTCAATTTCCCTATACCATACCCCCAAAATAACAGTCAAAAAATGTTGGCACATTTTTAGAGTCCCTCTCAGACATTGGCAATTAGCTCTTTCATCGTCATATCATATGACCAAAATATCTCCCAGAGTGGTACCACTCAGGTTTGCAGGCTTGTCAGATCCCAAAGGCGGAGTGGTTTCATCAACATTTGACTTTACCCTTTCAAGTGTCTGTTATAGTTGAGTTAAGAAACAATGTGATCTCTTGTTCTGGACCTCTTTTGAGACACCAATGTAATATTATTTCCCTCATTGCATAACCTATTTATTCATTCCTTTATCCTCAGCTACTGTTCCTCCTTCTCTCCACTTATACCCAAACTTTTCCACCTTTGAAAAGGACGTCAGGTTCAACCACTTTGCTGGCCCAGATTGCTATCCATAATAGTAATTTAACAAGTTCCTCCTGCCCAGTCTGTTCCTATTCATACAGGTTAGGGTTACATAGGTAAAAAACAAACAAACAAACAAAAAAAAAACTAGTAGACTATCTTAACCCATTAGGCAATATAACTACATTCATAGTCAACCCTAATTTGGCCAGATGGAATGCAGGCAAAATCTGACCCATAAGGCCCTTAGGCTTTCTGACATAAGTTTGAAGCTATAATTACAGTTTCTTACTTAGGAATCATCTCTGCTTCTGGTCCCCACAGCTGCAGCCTTGGTCCTGGGACCACTACATCAGATAAAGAAAAAAAAGATAGTTTAGGTGATATGGGGACAAAAAAGTAAATTAAAACCAGCATCCTTGTAATCTTAGCACTCTGGGAGGCTGAGGCGGAAGGATTGCTTGAGCTCAGGAGTTCAAGACCAGCCTGAGCAAGACCCCATGTCTACTAAAAATAGAAAAATTAGTCTGGTGATATGGTACACACTTGTATGCTCAACTACTTAAGAAGTTGAGGCTGGAGGATCATTTGAGCCCAAGAGTTGGAAGTTCAAGTGAGTTACAATGATGCCACTCTACCCCGGGCAACAGAGTAAGACTCTGTCTCAAAAACAAACAAAAATCCCAAAACAGCATCCTTCCCCAACCTCCTCTTTCCTGAAAAAGTGAAGGAATCTATCTATTGGTGACCTACTCCCCTTTACCGACATGTTGAACATGTTCACACACTCATGAAGGCATGCATATAAGCCAGCCCTTTGTGCTTTTGTCTCCCACTACTTTAGATAACAAATGTTTCAATTATCTGTTCCATTCTCTATCAAATTATTACTCTGAGGATGCATATGTTTTCCTTAGAAATGTTATTAATTTATTAAAAGGATTTTTGCTGTAAAATTTAGATTCAGTCAAAAGGCTACACTCAGGGATCCAGAAGGCCACATGTGGCCCCAAGGCCACAGGTTCCCCACCCCTGGCCCTTTTCTGGTCCTTTTATATACTCTAAGCATTTGTATCTACTACTGGGTGAACAAAACGCAATCCAGAGTAAATGTCTGTTCCTCTTAGGACCCACTAGAAGCTCAATCAATCCAACTTACCAGCTACATGTAGGGCCTTCCCTTTCTGGAAGCTGTTCCATAACCCTGTGCAGTCTTTGTCTGTCTTGTTGGCAGACAGAACAGTTAATGTCAGCATTATGTACCTCAAAGGGTAAAAAAGGAAATACCTAGATCAGGAATGTTTCATGTTGGAAGGCTGTATTAGTTTAGCTGTAATCAAGTAATGCCTCATTCAAGAAACTTCAATTAGAATTACTTGAAAATGTACATTATTTTGTAAAAATCTATTATGTACTTAATAATTTCAAAAAAATGAAATTAACTATTTTTTAATTTTAAGGTTAACCTTTCAGTGACTTTGCTGTGTCTGCTTTTTGTTGGAAAGTATCTTATTATTTGGTTGCAGCATGGAGGTCCGCAGTTTCAGTTGTACCTCTAGACGGGTATCATTTGTGACCTTAAGGGCGCCTTGATTTTGGTTAGGTAGGGAAATGTAGATTCACAATAAGTGGTTGAAAAGCAAGAAAGCATTTTTCAGGCATGTTGCCGAAGGCATGGGTATTCTACTGCATTTTTCCATATTTCAATTGGATCTTTCTTGGCATCAAACAATGACTGTAAAATGTCATCTACTGAGAGCTCAATCAGTTTCATCTGTAGTTCTTTAGGTGCCTTGGTGATAACAACTAGGTGAGACTGAAATGCTAATTTACATGTGATGTCATGATTCTCAAAGTCAGTGAACCTTTCATTGTATTCTTCAATTAACAGGTCTAAACAGCTGCTTACTCTTCAAATGATTTGCATATATCATGCTGCTCATCAATGACCTTTGCTAACTATGAAAAATGTTCACCCAAAATTTCCTTTTGAAGAAGTGTTTTGAAAAAAGATAGCTTTTTTTTCCCAAAATGCTTGGATTTTTTGCCACATATCATATATAGACTTAGTTTTAACTTGCAAAAAAATATTCAAGTCATTTTGATTTGACATGATATCACACAGAGATGCTGCATTCCTATAGAAATCTTCTTTCAATAATTCCCATTGCTGATTCTCTTCTTCATAAAGTTTAACTATCTGTTCTTGCAAAGATAAAATTTTGTCTAAAACCTGTCCCTGCAATAGCCTTTAGAATGATAAGGCAAATCCACACTGAATACCTCATCGTTCAACTTTAGCATGTTATGAAACTGGTGACGCTGTGTTGCATTTGCACAAATGTAGTTAATAATACTTATAACTTGTTGCAAAGTGTCATTTAAAATACTAGTTTTAGCACAGAGATTTTGTTGATGCAGGGCAAGATACAATGAAAAGAAATGAGGGCACCTGGATCTGTTAATACTTTATCTGTGTAATAAACCCTTCATGTTTTCCTGTCATGCAAAGTCCACCGTCTGTACATACACTTGCTAAATTTACCAAATTCAGTCCAACTTCAAAACATTTATCTTGAAAGTAGTTGAAGATATGTATTCCCCATGTTCTATTTGCAAGAGTGCACAAAGCGAGTAACTCTTCATACAAAGAAAATCCTTTATGACCTGAATGAAGTATAAAACTTGCACCAAGTCAGTAGTATCAGTTGATTCATCCAAAGCAATTGAATACTATATATTTTCCTTTTGAAGTATTGCATAAAGTTGTTCTGTTAAGTTGAAGGCTAATTCATGCTGCCAATCAGTTATGGCTCTCCTTTAAAGAGGCAGTTGTTTGTATGTACTCTGAAATGTTATCAGGGTCTAAGCATCCTACAACTTTAACAATTTATTCTTTCACAATTTCTACATCACTGAATGGCTTCCCTTTTTTCTCCAAGTATATAAGCTACTTTATACGTTGCTTTGGTGGCATTATTTCTGGGACTTATTGCTGCTTGAAAGAATTGTCTTTTGCTTCTGCATCGTTTAATTTCTGTAGTACAACCTTTTGCACCTTTTCCTCTAATTTAAAATATTTGTGGTCCTTATGAGTGTTGTAATGCTGATGGACATTGAATTTCTTTAATATTGATTTTGTAGTATTACAAAGCAAGCAAATCATCTTCTCTTTGAGCAGAAACAATATTGCAATTCCCAATCCTCATTTAAAAATCTGTTTTCTTACTTCAGTTTCATCTTCTTTGATATGATGGGCTATTAAGCAGCCAGAATTGAAAAATACTGTTGAGCTGTGCAACTATTCACAAAGTCCACTTCAAACAGAAGCACCAAGCACCACTGTCAAAAGCTGATAACAGACTGGTATACTTGACCCCTTAAATTCTCAATAACCAGCCTCATATGGTAGTGGCACCAGTTAGGAGGAGGAAGTTAGAACTATTAAATAAATAATGAGCATTGTAAGCCATCAATTTAGCTCTTATGGCTTACTAATGTTATAATTGTGCCAGTCAATCTGGGAGGATTATTTCATTGAAACTTTATTCTTTGGTATTTTAAATATGTTCATTTTAAAAATAAAAATATAAAAGGTGAATAAAAATATATTAATAAAAATAAAAGGATTTGTTCTGTAAAATTTAGATTCAGTCAAAAGGCTGCATTTAAAGATCTAGAAGGCCACAGGTTCCCCACCCCTGATCTAGATTCTGTCCATCTTTGCATTGCTGCAGCCCCTCAGTGTCCACTCATCTCATGAGCTCAGGTGACCACATCAATCAAGTACACTGGGATGTCTGTTCCCTGTTTCTAATCAAATTCCAAATCTATAAATGAGTTCTTTTAACAAACATTGACATATCCTATTTTAATGCACCCCTTAAATTCCCAGTGTGATTTTTCACAGGGCCATGCACCATACAGGCATCTCTTTGATAGATCAGTTTTCCACTGTGCTTCTGCATGACCATATGGCAGGACCATTGAACACTACTTATGAGTCGGTAAAAACCTAAACATTGGGGAAAGCTGCAGTTCAGCTCATCAACTTGATTTGTTTTTACCTTCTTCCATGAGAGTAGCAACCTTCCAAACAGA